ACGACTAAGCCCACCACTGATTTTTTTCTTTATATAGTTCCATTTGGCTTAGTATTGCTGTGGGGCTGAGAGGAATGTTGTGGCGTTGAGATTACTGTATAGAGTTATGTATCTAATAATGTTAACACTTGGTGAGGATCATCCTGAAATGTCTAATGTTGATGTAAGTATTGTTTTATCAATGTTCTCTAGTTTCATCATACACATGTACATGTATTGTTTAAAAGTATTGTAAATTTTGTATCATAACTGTTATTATTTATTTTAATTACATTGAGTAGTTTAACATTGGTTTACTACTGAGTAATGCTGGTCATTATGAAGAAAGTCAGGCATATCTGGAAAGTGCTCGTAGATTACAAAACAAGTGAGCTAGTATATACAAATCAAGAGAATTAAGGCTGGCTATGTTTGTTCTTGTATCTGTTCATTAGGTTTCATGGAAGTCAATCAATTACTGTAGCCACAATGTTAGTAATGATAAGATACATGTACATGTACATCTTATCTTATCGTTTTCTCATTGTTTTGGCTCCTCCTTCCCTTCCCCCTCTCTCTTTCCCTCTCTCTCCATCCCTCTTTCTCTACCTCCCTCCCTCTCTTCTCTAGTCATCATCTTCTTGCCAACTCATTGACTCACATTGGAGCATTTGCTGAAGCTAAGCAAAATAAGAGAAAAGCATACAATATCTATAGGACTAAAGTATGCAGTAATGTTAATGCCAGGCCATCTAGGTTTCTTAACTGTTTTCTCTCACAATTAGTTTGGCCCAGATCATGCACGTACTGTTCAGTCTTTTAAAAAACATGAGGTATATCACTGAGAAGCAAGTCTCTTATGAGCAGACTGTAAGTGTATTTGGCTAACTATTGCCAATGGTTAATTACCAAAATTATCTTGTTCATATGTTGTCTTCATAAATTATAAATAATTATTGTTTCGAAAAAGAAAAAATTAATAGCAATGCCAAGTGTAACTATTTGTAAACACCCAAATTCACACATGATGCGAATATCAGTAGCCTGAGCTAATTATTGTAAACACTTGATCTTTGTATATAGTTATACATACTACTGTAT